AGGAATTGAACAGATCAAACTTGAAGTTTTCAAATTACGCGCAGATTTGACAAAGCTTCCAGTTTTCCTCAAAATTTTCAAAACAGGATTTGTGAGATTATATCTATCAAAACAAACGAAGAGCTAAAAAATTTCCAAATAAAGCAGATCTCACCGTTTGTTTAAGCTTTCAAATTCTTCGTCAGTCACTTGACCTCCAAATACCACTTTTTTTATCCCATCCGACGGCTACCATTAATCAAAAGACAGAAACAAATCAAAAACACTAATTCACAGCCACAAAGAAGGGGGAGAGGGAGGAAGAAACACCTGGAGAGGGCGGGCGGGGCGGGCGGCGGAGTCCGGCTGAGGAGTCTCAGACCAAGTGAGCAGATCTGCTGTAGAAGTATGTGGCTTCCTAACAGGAGTGTTCCTCTCCATCTTTTCTCTCTAATTCCACTCTCAAAACTACTGACAGAAACGGAAATGCTTACAATTTAATCAAACGAAAGCCTGCGGTTCCTCTATTCTTACGCCTCCTCAGCAACAACAACAACAACAACAAAAAGGAGGGCAGTAGGGCACTGTTTTTCAGAGCTGTGGAAGAGTGAAGAGAAAGAATTAAAATGGGATCTGAAGGAAAAAGAAAGGTAGATAACGACGAACCTGTCCAAAATCCTGATAATCCCTTGATCTGGAACTTTCTTTTGTGCCTTTTCCCTTTGAATTTTAATCCTCCCCTCTCCTTTTTCGTTTAAATTTCCATGGATTTGCTTAAATGTATTTATACATTGAAAATAAAATGAAAATGAAAAAGTAGAGCAGCTACTTCTCTACTAATTTTTTTGAATCTTTATACCGCCCATCTAAATTTGAAATTCTGATAATTCTTTTATGATTATTTAAAACTTTTTCCTCGCGGTGCTTATAAAGTATTTAGTGATTGAATTTACCAATAAAATATGAACATAGCATATATTTAAATTATAAAAAATATGATCACCCTTATTGTTCTTTTAATCAATCTTTTCATTTTGAATTCTGATAAATCCTATTCAATATTCCAAAATTCTAAAACATAAACTGAAGTGATGCGAAATTAAATGTTAGTTTGTATACTTGAGAAATTATATTTTACAAGATACAAGAACAAAGAGATTATAAATATTTTATACTTTGGGACTTGAATTATAAGTTATGTTTTGATTGTGATTGAATTTTGGAATGAGGGAAGAAAATAATAGAAAAGGAGAGAGCATTATTTTCGCTTTTTCTCCTTTGCGTTGCCATCCCCATGAGGCAAAATTTCACTTTTGGCATTTTTAAGAAAGTCGTTATCGGTTTTATTATTATTATTTTAATATTTTTGGTAAAAAATTATCTAAAAATTATTATTTTTATTGATTTTATTAATATATTCGATAAAACACTATCTAAAACATTATTTTTTATATCAGTTTTATTATTATTATTAAACACTTTACTGAAAATATTAAAAATATTAATATTTTAAATAAAAATAATAATATTTTAAATAAATTTTTATCGAAAATATTAAAAAAAATAACAAAATCAATATTAATAGTACATTAAGGCTGAAATACGATAAAACTCCCCTCCCCATGTGAATGAGCATTCAAGGAATGCTTTGTCAGCATTTGACAACCATTCAGTCATTTCACCACTCCAAACCAAATCATTATGTGGAGCCACCTTTCTCTATGTTTCACGTGCGCTAGAAATGATTACCTATTATGTTGACATACTCGTAATATTATAAGTAGAAAACATGAAAAATTATTAAAAAAATTTGGTAACTAACAAACTTTAGTTATCGATAGGTATCAATACATATATAAATGTATGTACTTATTTTACTGTGTAAAACATTAAATTAGGATTATCTTTTAGCGAGTTTTAAGATATTAATTTAGAAATTATACACGTTTAATAATTTATTTCAATGTTACGGTATATATTATTATTAAATTAAAAATAATAAACATAGATATTACATATTTATTATTATCTTTGGTTAAAATTGTTAAATTTAAATTCTAAATAATATTTTATAAAATATCTAAACAATTAAATAATTTTTTATATAAATTAAATTATTAAATTAATATTATAAGTGGAAAACATGAAGCACTATTAAAAAATTTTGAAACATAAATTACATAACTTTCAACAAAGTATAAATACATGTGCAAAAAGTATTAATACTTTCAATATATCCGGCAACTCTTTACCGATTTTGTCATAATGAAATTGATTTTATCATATTTATACCTATTATATTGTTATGTATCGATATATTTTTATAAAGTATCGATACATTTTCTTTTATAAAGTATCGATACTTTATAGGCGCTATTACTACTTTTCTTTTAAATTCCAAAAGTGTCGATACTTATTTAAATGGAATCGATACTTTCAACATATATGGTAGGTAGTTTAATGTAATAGGTAGTGCCTATTTTTTTACCGTTTACATTATTAGCAACCTTCAAAAAAATCGGTAGGTATTTTAATATAATAGGTAGCGCCTATTTTTTTTACAGTGTACATTATTAGCAACCTTCAAAAAACCGGTAGGTATTTTAATGTAATAGGTAGCGACTATTTTTTTTACCGTTTACATTATTAACAGCCTTCAAAAAAATTGGTAGGTAGTTTAATGTAATAAATAGCGCCTATTTTTTTTACCGTTTACATTATTAGCAACCTTAAAAAAAACAGTAGGTATTTTAATGTAATAGGTAGCGCATATATTTTTTTTATCGTTTACATTATTAACAACCTTCAAAAAAATCGGTAGGTATTTTAATGTAATAGGTAGCGTCTATTTTATTTTACCGTTTACATTATTAATAATCTTTAAACAAACCGGTAGGTAGTTTAATGTAATAGGTAGCGCCTATTTTTTACTGTTTATATTATTAGCAACCTTAAAAAAAACCGGTAGGTAATTTAATGTAATAGGTAGCGCATATTTTTTTTACCGTTTACTTTATTAGTAACCCTAAAAAAACCGATAGATAGTTTAATGTAATAGGTAACGACTATTGTTTTACCGTTTACATTATTAGCAACCTTAAAAAAAACCGGTAGGTAGTTTAATGTAATAGGTAGCGCCTATTTTTTTTTACCGTTTACATTATTAGCAACCTTAAAAAAAACCGGTAGATATTTTAATATAATAGGTAGCGCCTATTTTATATTTCCAGTTAAATCATATAATATTTACGGTATAGATTTTAATCTGTCAATTGTTTAATTAGTTACGTCTTTTTTTAGCCGGTTTTTAACCGCCTCACAGTAGAACTTCCCTATTCATTCCAACCGGATCTTGAACAATATATATTTTTATAAATTAAATATTATTAAAAACTATTACAAATATTTTTTAGCTCTATTTTTTTATTAATTATATCAGATTTCAATCTTTAATTCGAATTAAAGAAATCAATATTATTTATAACATTGATCATTTAAATTGAGATAAGTCTACAGGCACATTCTTCTCGAAATATTTGTGTTCGAGACATTTTTGGGTCTAGATACGAGGATATGATCCTCCAAGGACATTTAAAATATATGAAAAAACTTCGAATAAATTGTACAGACATGTATCAGACACATTCCTGTATCCCATACTCTTGAACAGAGAAAGAAGAGAATCTAACACACATGATCTCTTCTAAGACATGCATGATCTGCTGTATAAACATAGTTATGAAATTATGATTGACTGAACTGATTATTCCTTTATGCATGTCTCGATTCAACAGCTCTCCAGAAAATGCCAACGATACAGGTTAGCACCATTTCTTTGAAAAACGTAATTTCTATGTTCCGGCTTTTCACCTTTTTTTCTTTTAAGAATATCCGTGTCCAACACATATTTTACAAAGGCATATTCGTCGTATCAGATAATGGTGCACTTGGATAGTTTGATTTGCTTACAGTGTTGGGTGCACTTGCTTATTGTTACAGTTATGGAGAGATAGCAAGAAACGAGCTGAGATGATTGGTGGCCACAAAGCATATTTGGTTGTTAATGAAGTTCGCCAAAGGATAGAAAATGAATGTACGTCGTGACGATAATAACATCTTTTTTAAAAGAAAAATTGAGCATACTTGTCTCCTTAGGCATTTTTTTTATATTCGTCTCCGAATTCGAGCAACATAATCGAATTTTCGAGCAACATAATCGAATTTTTTTTACCATAAACTTGGATTTATTTCTATTTAATGTCTTCAATTATAATGGCTGAAAGCAATGCCACCGGTCCCTTCTGTTGTTGAGAAAGTTGAAATCAGATTTGTCAGAGAATTTTGGGTATTTTATTTTAGGCATAGAGAGTAGTACGTTGTATATCGATATATATTATTAAAGCTACATATTAGAATACATCATTAACTAAAATATTTTTATTAAGTAATTATTAAATAATAAATTATACGTGTAGTATTTACGCTATCATTTTTATTTTATTTTAATATTTAAACTTTATTTTTTTTTTCAAAACCCAAAACTACAGATTGCGGTTCCATGTGCCATAGCTGCGTTTCTGCTTTCTTCACTGAAATTATCTTCTAATAGCGTCCTCGAATCTGCAGAAAACGACGAACTTGAGGTAAAATCATAATTTGACCTTCATGATCTTGTTTGCTTGTTTAAGACGGTTTTCAATTAAATCAAGAAGATGAGAGAAATAGAAATCTGAGGGTAGCGCTGGTGAAGGAACGACTGAAGATCAAGAAAATCAAACCGTGTGGGATCAATGGAGCTCACTCTTCAAGCAATCTTCGTTATTTTGATTTATAGTTTCTTTATAAAGTTAACATTTGATATCTCTATTGATGATGAATCTTCCTGTTATTAATTACTGGGCAAACTAGCCTCGGCTTAAAAGTTCTTAAAGTATTTCTTGTCATTTTGACATATGAAATTTGCGAAAAACATTGATTTTGATTTTGAAAGGAATTCAGTTGTATGTTTTCAGATCTTCAAATTGCCAAACAAATTTACGCTGTTTTCATTTATTAAGACAACAGATTCCATACAATGACTCAACAATTCAAGCACAAAACGATGACAGGTTAAACCCTAATTAAAACTCATAATCCCCAAAACGCAACAGTATCAACCACCAAACCATTTTCTCAAACCTCATCCTCAAGTAAAAGCATATTCGGAATTCCCTTATTAACCGGAAACTTCCGGCCGCTCTCGGGGCAAAGAAGCGCGCCTTCCTCGAGATGGAGCTCTAAGAGGGCATGATGAAACTTCCTCAAAAACTCGATGTCCGCCTCCAATACCGACGGCTCCGGCGGCTCCTCCGGGAGCTCATGATACCCCATGATTCTCGAAGCATCGGAGAGGGCTTTCCAATCGATCTTTGGAAATATGTTCCTGAGGAAATCGTGATTGATTTCGACTTCCTTCTCCACCACTTTCTCCACTTCGATCCTCAGTGGGAAACCATTGGCTACCCCTTTGATGTTTGAGGATAGCATGTTGTGAGTTAACAATCTCATCTCTTTCTCTTTTTTTTTCAGTGCTATCGCTTGTTTTCAGATTCTTTGATTGATGCTTGGCATGCTTATAGGGTTTTTTAGTGCCTTTTGAGTACTAGCTCAGTAGCTTGCGGAAAGACGAATACGTCCTTGCATATAAGTTAAATTGGAGTGATCTAGAAATTTAAGATGTTAGGGCTAAGCCCTAGTTCTTGGGCCAACTCTAGGTTTGGGCTGGAATATACTGTTATCCCTAGTAACATTAGAGCTTGAGTAATTGGTTTCTGAAGGGTTTTTTTAATATAATCTTAATTTTACTCAGAGGAAAGGAAAAAGAATTCTAGGAAAAGTAAGTAGAATGTTTTTAGTGGGTCTAGAACTCATGATTAAAAGTCCTTGATGTTGCTGCCGTCGTTATTCGAGTAGCTCGTCACAACGTTTTCGGGCATTTTAGATAACCCCAAAGATCCTTTGATGATATGTACTATTGAAAGTTGAAACCTAGACTTATTGTTCAAAAGGTTAAAATAAGTTGGATACAACCACAGATAGGGATACAGTTAAATACATACATATATCGACATGCGATGACGAGCGAAGGTCGATCCGGCCAGCATCAATGGTGGGGCGCCATGTCTACCAGCCCAATGTTTGGGAGGAGATGATTCAATGGTCATTGGACTAAGTTCATGGGTGTTGACAGCCACATTTTTCAAGTATGCTATTTGGGCTTCATCGGCATGCAATATATACTATATAATATTGGATAATGAGAGGTAAGAACTTAATATGGAGAGCAGCGATGTCCAGAGCGCACGACGAGCTTCTTTTTTTTTAATATTAAAAAAAAAGAGGTGATATTTTTAATGATTTAACGGTTAAATTTAATTGTCTATCACGGTTTAATTCATTTTGAATAATAAAATAAAATGTTAGACACTAAACTAGAATGAAATAAACGGTGAACACTAAATTAATAAAACATGCTTAGATTAAGTACTTTTTGTATCCTTAAGCCTTAAAATAATTATATATCACATATGATAATCATTAATAAATTAATATTTTCATTAAATTATCTCATATGGTGTATTATAGATATAATTTTTTTAAATAAAATTGAATAATTTAACATGTTTCCAATTTATAAACGAACTTTTATAGATCTATCATTTTAATATTTTTTTTATAAATTTTATGATTTATTCAATTATTTTATAATTATAATTCTTTATATGTTTTTAATAGCATTCTATAATATTTAAATAGTAATTTTATTTTTTTAGAAAATTAAAGGTACTTGTAAAATAATAAAATAATATTTTTTTAATAAAAATATCAATTAAATATTTTATACGTCGTTATTTTTTCAATATCAGCTGTTACATTAGTAACATTACATCATTTATATTGTCACTTATCATTTTAAACAATGAAAGAAAGTACAGAGGCAAGCTTGATATCACTGATTTTGCCAACATAATTCTTCCACCAAAGGAAAGGAATTTTGATTTCCAAGGGACCATTCTCTTTTTCTACTTATCCACCACTGGTCTCCATAGGGCAGTGGAGTTCCTAGAGAGACCCCAATGGTAAGCCAATATAAGATGTGGGGAGGCTGCCTGCTGAACAATTAAGAATCCTGGACCAAGACTGAACCAGTCCGTCCTCGACATTAACTCCCAACAGGGAACACTTCTTTAGATTGAGCTTTAGTCTGGATGCCAATTCGAAGCAGCGAAGCAAACGTTTGATGTTTTGGACTTTGAGAAAAACTGTCTCCACAAAAACTAGTCAGATCATCTGCAAACTGAATATGAGACTGGGCACAAGTTTTCATTTCTAATAGACACTCCCTTAAAGAAAACCCATATTTGTTGTTTTAGAAATAATTGCGCTCAGACCATCAGCGACAATGTTAAATATGAGAGGGGATAATGGGCATCCTTGGTGAAGACCCCTCCTAATTTTGAATCTGTCTGTGGGTGTCCTATTCACTAAAACCAATATCGATGCTGAGGAGATACAAGATCTAATCCACCCTCTCCACCGGAGACCGAAACCCATCTTCCTTAACTTAAGATCCAGAGAGCTCCAATCAACACAATCATAAACTTTCTGAAAATCCACCTTGAATAGAGCATATTTCAATCCCCTTCTCTTTATGCAGTCCACCACTACATTTGCAACCAAAGCACAATCCAAAATTTGACGCCCTTTAATGAAGGCAAATTGGTTTTCACCAATGATTGTATCCTTACTGAAGATAATCTTTCTGCAAGGGATTTTGCAATAATTTTGTAGATGCAACCCACCAAGCTGATTGGACGGAATTCATTTATACTTGTTGGAGATTCTACTTTTGGGATCAAGGAAATAAAGGAATGGTTTAAATTGGAATCCCATTCCTTGCCCTCCCAAAAATCATTGGCCATTTTCAAGACATTATCCTTCATTACTGCCCAATATTTCTTAATGAATTCTACATTGAAACCATCTGGTTCAGGCGCTTTGTTACTCCCAGCACCATTAACCACTTTCCAAATTTTTGCCTCCTCGAAGCCCCTCTCAAGCCAAAGATGCTCAGTTTCCTTAACGGTTTTAAGATCACAGTTAAATTCTTTCACCTTAATTATGGGGCAGCGGTTGTAAGCTTCTCGAAAGTGATTTCTTATGAATACACAAACTCTCTCTGACCATCTTCAAGCTGTCTATTTATCTGAATGTTATGAATCCAATTATGTCTTCTATTAGCCGAGGCCATAATGCGAAAGAAATGAGTATTCCTATCCCCCTCTCTAATCCAATAGATCCTAGATTTCTGATGTCATTCTCTCTCATCCCTTCTATACAGACCCTAAAGATACGATCAAAGAGATTTCAACTCGGTTACAAGGGCTGCGTTGGACAGATTCCTTTGAAAATTCGTTTCCACCAAACTAATTTTCTTTTCAGTGATTTGTATTAACATTTTAGAACTCTCCTTATTTTTATTTTCTGTCCACCTCTTAATAGCCTCTTTCGAAACCTTCAAAATGTGCCCAATACCTGACCCCTGCTTCTTTTTAATGGTTTCTTCCATCATTCTGTTAAAATTCTAATATTCCAACCAGTAGTTAAAAAATTTGAATGGTCTCAGACCAGATTTAAACTCCTCTGCATGGACCAATAGGGGATTGTGATCCCAAATAGATTTTGGCAGTACAAACAGACTGGTTTCCGGGATCAAAGTAAGAATCTATGGGGACATCACAACCCTATCCAACCTACACATCATCGGATTTCCCCTAAAATTACTCCATGTATATTTAGCCCCTAGCAGTGATAAATCCACTAATCCATTATTATCGAAGAAATCGCACAGAACGTTTATTGAAGCCCGATTGATGGTCATCCCGCTCTTTTCCTCCTCGTATTCACTGCATTGAAGTCTTCTCCGATGATCCAAGGGACCACTGATGACCCAATAATACTAATGATTTCCGCTAGAATATTCTTCCTATCAATTGAATTGATAGGAGCATAAAGATTTAGGAACCCTACTCTAATTTTCTAATGCGGCACTTTGCCAATTAACACAATGTAATTTGGTTGATAACTAGCACTTTCAAGCTCGAAGAAGCTATCATCCCACACACTGACCAATCTACCCGCCGTACCACTCGCCGGAACTACAATAAAATTCTCGGTACGACCACCCCAACACGACGATATCTTTTTTTGAGTCATTATTTCAGTTTTTGATTTTTGAAGGGAGAGCATTTTAATGTTGAATTTTCTCACCAAGGTTCTAACTGCTCTACACTTTTCCAATCTTCCTAACCCGCGTATATTCCATGATAATAGTTTGAATAAATTCATAATAAAACTAGAGACTCACCTTTTTGCCAGACTTAGGGATTCACATCAAAGATTATCTCCAGCTCTCTCATCAATTATCGCTAACTGCCAAATAACAATTTGCCTCTCTTCACAGACTTTAAGTCCACCGCTTCCTCCACCTAAAGAGTTCAGCATGCTTCCGTGATAGAATCAGAGTTCGAAAACTGCCTCACGGCGTGTATTCATATTCTCGCTCGATAATACTGGAAGATCCACTTCCAAGGATGATCTATCCTCCGATAATATCTCTTGCCCAATTTTTGCTTCGACGCTTAGTGCTTGCACCTCGAAGACACCGAACAGTGCGACCAATTCCAAGGACTTGAGAATTTTGAGCCATGAAAGTTTGGAAACCGACCTTTTTTGGGCAATTTTTGAGCCACTCTGTCTGATTTCCCTAAAGATTTCAGACCTGACCCGAAATTAGAAATTAGAGGCGCATTTACTCAACACGCCTTTAATCTGTAATATTCTCTTTTTAATATTTGTTGATTAATATTTTTTAAAGTAACACTTTTTCGATTGATGTGGACATATCCATGGGGACGCGCTTTTACGGGATTCTGATGACTCAGATGCCACGTGTGGAAGGCGCATTTCCGGGGACGCGCCTTCCATTTGGGTTCTGCTGAGTTAGATGTCACGTTGGTATTTCTTTTAATAATAAAGATTTTATTTTTATTATTATTATAAATAATTAATATGTTATGTAAAGTGTTTCGATTATAATTTAAGAATTATCAAATGTATTTTTTAAATGTATGAAATTATAATATTACACGTATTGTTATATATCTATTATTTTTTTATTATCGATATATTAATTTTATCAATTAATTATTTAAATGTTATTAATCTAGTCATTTGTTATCAATATTTAAAGAAAATATTAATGCATAAGTTAATAAAATTAGTATAATTACACATTTAACCTTCAATAGTTACATATTTTATCAATTTAGTCTCACTTTTAATTTGTTGGAAAATTTGAGTTATATAAGAGAGGGAGAAGATGATTTTGGTGTGAAGAATGAGGGAGGGTTGAGGGGGTTTATATAGGGGAGGAGGAGGGGGTAGTTGGGGAAAAACAGATGAGGGCATTTATGACATTTAATGGAAGGCGCATCACCGGGGATGCACCTTCCACACGTGGCATCCAAGTCATCTGAATCCCGTGAAAA